AGGGGAGGTCGATGATTAAGTCACGAAACAACCGAATACTGTGCGAAAAGAGGCGCCGTAGGTGGAGCAGACTGCTCCAACCATAAGACCGCGCGACCAAGAGTCGTAAGTCTAGCGGAGCGGTACGCTTCGCTGGGATGGGAAGGGGTGGACGTAGACAGGACATAGCGCCTGCGCTGGTCGCGGGTGGGCGCGAGATACAAGTTCAGAAGTGCCTGTCGCAAGTTATGCTAAGATTAAAGATAAGACGACAAACGCATTCTGACGGGTCCGAAATGGCCCGTGAGAATTTAGCAAGATTGCTACCGGTGTTCGAGGTGCGGTCAATAAAGCGTCTTAAGTAGCGTGCTTGGACGTAAGTATACGGACATTCATAAATAAGGTGGATAATGTCTTGCCGTGGCGAACCGCAAGGGCAAGAGGGTACTTCAGTGAGGTTTTTACGATATAGACTGACATTAAGATTATAATGATTGGATCGTAAGCGATTAAGCATGACAATGATCTTTCTAGAAATCTTTTTACGATAGTACCAAGGTTTAGGAGATCTACGAAGAATATGAGTGAAAAAGTATGTACCTTTAGTTTGAGCCATAGATTCAAGGTGTCGATAAAAGTTGTCGGAAATCCGTTGTTTAATGACTGCGCATATATCCGAATATGGTACCTTAAAGTTAGGTTCAATGCCCTGTCTGATTGCTCTTTTAGCCAGGTTGTCGGCTTTTTCATTACCGGCAATACCTTTATGTGAGGGAACCCATACAAATTGAATGCGTGTACCATTAGCCTCGGCTTCCTCTAAGACCGCTTTAATAAGAGGGATAAGGTAGTTATTGGTGCGGTTGTTGTAGCTACTAATGGTTTCAAGCACACTTTTAGAATCTGTGACGATCGTGACCTTACGCAGGTGCAAGTCGATAGAAATGGTTATTGCGGTGTAAATAGCATAAGCTTCAGCCGAAAATACTGAAGTATATGAAGAGAGCCTGAACATAAGTTCCGCATGCAACTGCGGGGAAAACACAGCCGCCCCCACATAAGTTCCATGATCGATCTTGGAGCCGTCGGTATAAAAAACCGTAGATTCTACCGTAAGGTGAGAAAATTCATAATCGAATAAGGATTGCGCGCATAGATTAGGAAGAAGTTTCA